TATTTCTATTTATATAATTTGGTATTTTCCTTTATGGTCAAATTATTTCGTAATTAAAAACCTAAAAAGAGAAGAGTTACCCAGCATATGCTTATGAGTTAAGAATATTTATATGTGCATCCCAAATCCTTACACTTTCGTTCATTCATATATTAAAAAATGACTTTCAATCCTGATCAGGTGACATAACTTTTGAAGCAGAGCTCATTTATTTATGTTTGTATGTAACTGGCCATTCTGTGTCATTGTCACAGAAAAAAGTCCATGCTCAGGAAAATCCTTACAGTGACATAAGACATAAATTAATGAAGTTATGGGTGCCAAGTGACAAAATCCACATATATTGGTAAGTCTAGCTTCATTGCATCCTTTGATTTTCAAGAAATAAGATGAACAGAAATATGATGGCATTGAGAAAATGCTTCCATTCATGTCAGCAAGGAAACTGGTCTTGGCTTTAAGACTAGAGGGCTGCCCAGCACAGCTTGGAAGGATCATGAACCAAACACAGCTAGCTGCTTACCCTGGTGCATGCCACTCAGAGTCGCTTTTATTAGTTCACAGTCAAGGGTCCCTCTCTGTGGCTTGTATCTTGTGCTCCTTTTCTTTCTTTCTTTCTTTTTTTTTAAGATTTAATTAATTTATTTTAGAGAGAGCGAGAGAGAGCATGAGCAGGGGAGGAGCAAAGGAAGAGGGAGAGAGAGAATCTCAAGCAGACTCTGCGCTGAGCGAGGAGCCAGAAGTGGGGCTAGATCCCACGACCCTGAGATCATGAGCTGAGCTAAAACCAAGAGTCAGACGCTCAACCAACTGCGTCCCCGAGGTGCCCCTCTTGTTCTCCTTTTCAAAATCCCTCTGTCTATGGGGTGCCTCATCCAACAGCAACCAATGGGCTTTTCTGGGGAAAAATCTTTCTACTTATGGGGTGCCGTCCAGAATCCCCTAAGTGCGTATTACAGTATCATCAGCCCATAGATGTAGGACATGTTTTAAGTCAATCCATACTAAAGTCACACTCCAGATTTTGGGGAAACCCAACCAGTAATTCTTGAGAGGTGTGGAAGCAAAAAGGCAGAAACTTAACTTTATTGCTATGGATTATGAGCCAAGGACGTGGAATGACCTGGTTTCCATGTGTCCAGTCATCCCACCATCTTAACCCACATTCTCCTTCCTCCAGGGCTCTGGCTGTCCTCCTTCGCCTGCCGCACTGCACATTCAAAAGATCCTGGGGGCTCCTTGGCGGGGGACAGAAGCTGCCTCAGGTGTGGATCAGCATGGCTCACTCCCTGGGGGTCTTTCAGTCTTTGGGGGAAAGAGATGGGCATTTAGAGCTTAGCTGTCCAGTATGGTACCTGCAAGCCACATATAGCTATTTACATTTAAGTGAATTAAAATTACATTTAATTTAAAACTTGGGTCCTCAGTGGCACCAGATGCATTTTGCATGTGCAAAAGCCACGTGTATCCAGGGGCTATTGTACCCGACAGCACAGCCATAGGACACGTCCGTTATTGCAGGAAGTCCTACTGGACAGCGCCATTCCAGGAATGGCTGTGTCTCGGGGAGGATGAGGGTTTTTGACTCTAGTTTTAATAATACGATACCAATAACTACGACCGGTACTAAGAACAGTCATTGCAAGCGTATGGTGTTGAAAATAAGAACTACCATCCCGTAAGAATACCTACTGGTTATGTAATATTACGCTATTTTAAAAACAACCTTATTGAGATATGATTTATACACCACGAAATTCCCCTAATATAGGTGTGCAATTTGATGACATTTAGTGCACTTGTAGAATGATGTAGCCCTCGCCACACTTAAGTTTTAGAACATTCGTCACCAAAAAAGTTCCCTTGTGCCTGGGTGCAGTTACATCGCCTCTCCCAGCTCCAGCCATAGGCGACTATTGATTTGCTTTTTCTGGAGATTTTACATAAATGGAACAATGGACAGTCCCCTGTATCTGGCTTTTTTCATAACTTAGCAAATGTTTTTGCAGTGCATCCATTTACCACATGGATCTATCACTAGTTTCTTCCTTTTTTTAAATTGCTGAATAGAATTTCATTGTATGGAGGTACCACATCATAATATTATGTTATTATAATATTATTATTATCAACAACTTGCTAATCAATGTCATTTATCCAACATTTAAAATAGACTAGATTTGTTCATTGATGGTTCATTTGTGAACCTGTGAACTGTGTTTTTCCATACCTTTAAAAAATATATGTATCTAAATGAATGCCATGTGCATAGATATTTTTTAAATACAACAGTGAACAATTTGCACCTTTTGTTAATGCCTCTTTTTACTTGCCTTGGCATAAAGAATGAACCAATAAACCTCTGTGTCCTATGGGAAAATGTATAAATATCACCTGATAATTGCTCTTAGAGGTAATGGTAATTAATGTTAAATCACAAGTAAGCAGTATTTTAAATAGAAAAAACTGATTGATGTACATTGATTAACATTTGTTAATTGATGCTTTCATGCCATCCATTTTGACATTTAAAATTTGCCAGAAATTCCAGCGAACCCTTTATGTTTAGTGCATCACTGGATTACACAGGCCTGTCATGGGGGATTTTGATCCCCAATAGATAAGGGAGGGAATGAAGGGTCCAAATCACAGGGGTTTCGTGAGTTGTCTCAGACCATACTGGCAATAAATAGTAGCCATGGGGAGTTGGAACCCAGCTACTATGGAATACGAAGCACGTGTTTCCTTGCTGAATTACTGAGATATAATTGACATATAACATTGTATGAGGTTAAGGGGTACCACGTGTTGATCTGATACATTCATATGTTGCAACATGATCACCACCATAGGTTAGCTAATACCTCCGTCCTGCCACATAATTATCATTTCTTTTTTGCAGTGAGAACAATTAAGATCTAGTCTCTTAGCAACTCTGGGGTTTATAATACAGTGTTGTGAACTATAATCATGATGCTGTGCCTTACATCTCCACGACTGACTTATCCGCTAGTTGCAAGTCTTTACCCTTTGGCCAACATCTCCCCAGTTCTCCCACCCCTGGTAACCACCATTCTACTCTCTGTTTTTTTTTTAGTTTGGTCAAAGCACATGTTTTTAAACACAGTGTTAATTGGCCTCTTGTCAATCGTGTGAGCTGGGGCATCCAAGTAACTAGAGTATGGGCTAAGCCAAGAGGCAGACAGGGTCAGCCTATGGTGGTAAGTGACCTCGTGGGGAGAACTCACTGAGACAGATATCCTTTCCAGGTTGGATCTGTATGTGAGTGAAAGGGAAAAAAATCAGCTCCCAGATTGCAGGAGTGAGACTTATTCTTTCCATCCCACGATTCTCTTATGGTTTTTTCCCTTACCACTCACCTGTAGCCTCCTGCTTGGGAAATTCGGAATGGCTGGTTCTGAGAGACAAAAACACATTAAAGTATGGGATCTGAAGACTGAGGGAGAAGATGGGGCGTTAGAGAGAAGAGGCATGGGAATCACAGACATACAAACAGGGTATCTGAAGAAGAGAGGGGCAGGCGATATGTGAAGTATATCTACCTCTTGGTGGATTCTTCCTGTGACGAACCTACAAAACAAAAAAAATACAAGGAGGAATTTACATAGTGTATAAAACTGGTGCTTCCCTGGGGTGCCTGAGTGGCTCAGTCACTTAAACGTCCAACTCTTGATCTCAACCCAGGTCTTTGATCTCAGGGTCGTGAGTTCAAGCCCTGAACTGGGCTCCATGCTGGGCTTGGAGCCTACTTATTAAACAAGCAAGCAAGCAAACAAACAAACAAACCAGTGCTTCCTGAACTCACCATGCTGGGTACATCTGTTGATGAAGAAGACAGAGAGGAAGAGGATCAAAATGGAAAGGCAGCTGAAGGTGGCAGCAAAGATTAATCCATTGGCTGGTGGGAGAGGAGCAGGTCGGAGAATCAGTTTGGCTCCTGAGACACCCTGATCAAGTTTAGCTCAACAGGTGTGAGGAGCCAGACAATCTGGCTTCCAAAACTTGCAGCTACCACTTCTGAGCTGGAACTTCCGATTACTATGGGAATTTCCTTAATCTCCCTGACTTTCTATTTTCCCATTCAAAGTGAGGATAAGAACAGTAGCTGCTGGACTGGATGGCAGGGGGTTAACTGGGTGGACACTCACAGAGAGGGCCTCGTACAAGGGAAATCTCCAATAAATGTTTCAGCCATATCAATAATTCTGATTATTTGTTGTGAGCCTCTCTCTGCTAGGCGCTTCACACGTGTTCTTCTCACCTTGACAAGAAGCACATGAGATGGTGGGAATGCAAGCTGGTGCAGCCACTCTGGAAAACAGTATGGAGGTTCCTCAAGATGTTAAAAATAGAGCTACCTCATGACCCAGCAATTGCACTCCTGGGTATTTACCCCAAAGACACAGATGTAGTGAAAAGAAGGGCCACTTACACCCCAATGTTCATAGCAGCAATGTCCACAATAGCCAAACTGTGGAAAGAGCCCAGATGCCCTTCAACAGATGAATGGATAAAGAAGATGTGGTCCATATACACAATGGAATATTACTCACCCATCAAAAAATGAAATCTTGCCATTTGAAAAGACGTGGATGGAACTAGAGGGTATCATGCTAAGCAAAATAAGTCAGAGAAAGACAATTATCATAAGATTTCACTCATATGTGGAACTTAAGAAACCAAACGGAGGATCATAGGGGAAGGGAAGGAAAAATAAAACAAGATGAAGTCAGAGAGGGAGACAAACCATAAGAGACTCTTAATCATAGGAAACAAACTGACGGTTGCTGGAGGGGAGGAGGGGGAGGGATGGGGTAACTGGGTGATCGACATTTAGGAGGGCATGTGATGGGATGAACACTGGGTGTTATATAAGACTGATGAATCACACTGACCTCTACCTCTGAAACCAATAATACATTGAATGTTAATTAATTGGATTTAAATAAAATAACATTTTTTTTAAAGATTTTATTTATTTATTCATGAGAGACAGAGAGAGAGACAGAGGCAGAGGGAGAAGCAGGCTCCCCGCGGAGCAGGGAGCCCGATGCGGGACTCGATCCCAGGACCCTGGGATCATGACCTGAGCCGAAGGCAGACGCTTAACCGACTGAGCCACCCAGGCGTCCCAATAAAATAACATTAAATTTAAAAAAAAAAGCATACAAGATAGCTTTACTGTTCCCATTTCATCCCAACGGGAACAAAGTATCCAGACGTTAAGGGAATTGCTCAAAGTCACATGGTCGGGATGGGCTTCGCATCCTGGTATGTGTAACCTTTTAGGCCAGTTGGCCACAGGTCGGGGCCACTCCGTGCTGGCCTCTGGGTGTGGAAACACCAGAGAAGTGACCTCGCGGCCTGGGGAGATGCACGTTTACCCAAATAGCTCTGATGCTGCAGAGGGAACAATAAGTCCCATCTCAGATGAACGAAAATCCAAACTCTCTCCCAGTCCAAGAGTTGTTTAAATGGTATATATACTGGGATATTATTCAGTCATAAAAAGGTAGAAAATCCTGCCATCTGGGACATGCAGATGGACCTGGAGGGCATTATGCTAAATGAGATGAGCCAGACAAAGACAAATACTACATGATTAGATTCCACTGATGCATGGAATCTAAAACAAAACAAAAAAAATTATTTTTAACTGAACTCATACAAGCAGAGAGTAGAGTGGTGGCTGCCAGGGGTTGAGGGCTGGGGAGGTGGGGAGAGGCTGGCAGAATGCTACCAGCTTCCAGTGAACGGATGAATAAGTTCTGGAGATCCAACGTAGAGCATGGTGACATGGCTGACAAGTGTATAACTGAAATTTGCTAAGAGTAGATCTTAAGCATTCTCACACAAAAACCAAAGGTAAATATGTGAGGGGAGGATGCGTTCACTAACTCGACCCTTCCACAAGTGGACACATGTATCAAACCATCACGTTGTACACTTCTGTCAGTTATACCTCAAGAAGGTGGGGTAAGGAGGAGAGGGCGGGATGAGAACACCGAACTTGAAGAGCTTGGGTAATGATGGAAAGCGCTGGCTTCAAAGTGCTTCAAAGTCTAGAATTTGACTCATTGTGTAGGATAATGAGATTGCAGCGATAATGATTATTTTCTCCCTCGATATCCCACCCACACCTGTCTCCCTCTGTAACAGATGATGCCAGGTCTCCTCCACCCCTGCTCCCCCAGATCCCTTTGCCATTTTTATGCACCCTGGATCATGGTTTCTTTCACTTTCCGATGCGAACATTTGCATCTCTTTGTCGGGGGACTGCCAGAAAGGACCCCAAATGCCTCGGGATCTATGTATCCCAGGGATACCTCTTTACTGTGACTGCCATTTGCGGGAGCATGAGTGCCCTGGCCCAGCACTGAGCAAAAGACACCACGGAAGGGGGTGCCTGGGTGGCTCAGTTGGTTAAGCGACTGCCTTCGGCTCAGGTCATGATCCTGGAGTCCCTGGATCGAGTCCCGCATCGGGCTCCCTGCTCAGCAGGGAGTCTGCTTCTCCCTCTGGCCCTTCCCCCTCTCATGCTCTCTCTATCTCATTCTCTCTCTCAAATAAATAATAATAAAAAAAAATCTTTAAAAAAAAAAAGACACCACGGAGGGACGTGAATATCCTACTCTTGCTCAGTCCTTTTCTTCTCAGCCCTCCTCCCCCTGCACCTCCTACAATGTCACTTTGACATTAATACTTATTTGAGTCTGTTGGTGGCACTGAATCCAAGAGACCCTCAAAAGCAGCAAACTATCAGTGCATCTCCAAGGACATAAGAAAACAGGGTGGGAACAGGTGTTCCCGGACTAGTGGGGCCCGAATGGAAGAAGAGGAACATCAGCCCTGCCTTACACTTCATCTAGCCTACGGCTTCTCTCACACAACAACTCACTAGAAATGAGAAGTAAACGGTCATAAGACTTTCCCCTTCCTATGGTGCCACAACCCACTGATCTGAGTTCACCCTGAGATGTCCACATTTCCTGGCCAAATTTCACATCACTCTTTACAAACTGCCAGAATAAATTACGAGGAGTCTCTGCTGTCAGTGTGAAGGAATCACACTGAGCAGTGGGATACAGCTTGCCACGGGGTGTAAAAGAGGTCACAGGCAGCAGAGAGGAAGCCTGGCCTCGTGTGCACATGTGCATCCATATAGACAGGCTGGGGGCACCATATCTGCGCTTAGAGACTTTATTCCATTTAGAATTGCTGCGGTATAAATTTGAACTCAGAAAGTACCTCTCAAGAAATGATCCACACACCCACTAGGATGTCTATAATAAAATAAAAGGAAAATAAGTGTTGGCAAGGACGTGGAGATATTGGAACCCACATGTATTACTGGTGGGAATGTAAATTGGTGCGGCCACATTGGAAAACAATTTGGCAGTTTCTCAAAAAGTTAAACATAGAGTTACCATATGTCCCAGCAATTCTACTCCTAGGTGGATATCCAAGAACATTGGAAGCAGGGACTCAAACAGGTACTTGCCCACCAATGCTCAGGACAGCATTAATTGCGATACCCAAAAGGTATGAAAAACCCAATGTCCATCATGGGGATTGGAATGGGGAGAGACGGCTTACAGGGTAGGACATTTCATTTGGGGTCTGAGAATGTTCTGGAATTATAGAGTGGTGATGGTTGCACAATCTTTTTTTTTTTTTAAAGATTTATTTATTTATTTGAGAGAGCGAGAATGAGAGAGAGTACATGAGAGGGGGGAGGGTCAGAGGGAGAAGCAGGCTCCTCGCTGAGCAGGGAGCCCCGTGCGGTACTCGATCCCGGGACTCCAGGATCATGACCTGAGCCGAAGGCAGTCGCTTAACCAACTGAGCCACCCAGGCGCCCGATGGTTGCACAATCTTGTGAATATACCAAATGCTACTGAATTGTGTACTTTAAAAGGGTGGATTTATGGAATGTGAATTATGGATCAATAAAAAAGAAAGAAAATAAGTAATGCGAGAGCTAAAAACATGAACACTTCTCTTTCTCTTTCCCCTCTTGCCCATCACTAGGCTTCCCGCCTTATTTCTGCTATGTCCATGATCCTTGACCCTATCAGATTTCAGATCTCTCCCAGAAAACATTCCTGTTATGAATTATGTTCATAAAGCTGGAGTAGAAATCATTTCCCAAGTCGGCTAATACTGAATAAAAACATTTTCAAAGGCTATTACTTATTTTGCGAGGACATTTTGGGAGATACTTTTTAAAAAAAAAAACCTGGTTATTCCAGCATAGACTCTAATGACAGCCTTGAACAATTTTGGCTCTTTGGAGTAGATTACAGGGAGGTTATGAGTTGCAGAAATTAAGGATGAGTAAGCAACTAGATGCCAACTTACATTATATATTTGGCCATTAAAATCTGGATGAGCTGCTATTTTCATCCAAAGATGCCAAAAGCTCTATCTTACAGGCATCTCCAAGGATAGACTCTTAGTCAATTCCTCATGGAAAAACAACATCATGGAAAAATAACTTAAGGGCGCCTGGGTGGCTCAGTTGGTTAAGCGACTGCCTTCGGCTCAGGTCATGATCCTGGAGTCCCGGGATCGAGTCCCGCATCGGGCTCCCTGCTCGGCAGGGAGCCTGCTTCTCCCTCTGACCCTCCCCCCTCTCATGTGCTCTCTGTCTCTCTCATTCTCTCTGATAAATAAATAAAATCTTAAAAAAAAAAGAAAAATAACTTAATATTCACCTGTTTTTGAGAACTTTAAAGTTTTAGCAAATCCTTGATCACACACATTCCCAAAGCACCTGGGCTCTATGGGTCCCCATCCTGTTGCCTAAACCAAACACACAAGCTCATCCCCATTCTTCACAAAACTCCGCCATGGTTTTTCATTATGTAAAATGACAAGCGACCCACCTCTAGCTGTTTTACTCATCAGCTTTTCCTTAACCAATGAGGAGCTTGGGGGTCATCTTCCCAGAAAGGCAGGCATTCTCCCAATCACAGTGAGAAAGCAGGCATCACGATTCTTCTTCTGTGCCTTTTATTCAAAGGGGAACACCTGCCTCATGAGGTGGATATAATTTTGAAAAACATCTCTCAAATTATCTTACCATTTTTTACTCCAGTAGCTCCACGTCCATTGTGGTCATCTAGAAAACAGGATGCAGGAGGAAAAAAGTCACAATGACTGAGTGGAAACCTTGGGGACCTAGGTCCTCATATTCTGCTTATGGACTCTAAGCCCTCTTTGGGAAGCAGACAATGTCTTTTCCACTCTTGGGATGCTCACTGGGTCCCCAAACCAGGGCCAGAACATTAGATGGCTCTTTTTTTTTTTTTTAAGATTTTATTTATTTATTTATTTGAGGGGTGGGGAGAGGCAGAGGGAATCTCAAGCAGACTCCATGCTGAGCACAGAGCCTGACACGGAGCTCCATCTCACGACCCTGAGATCATGACCTGAGCCCAAATCAAAAGTCAGATGCTCAATGACTGACCACCTAGGCACCCCCTGGTGGCTCTTTTTAATACTCCTGGAGTTTGATATTATTTTTAATAACAAAAACATTTATAAATTATCCCACTGATTTCTCCCCTTCCAATCCTATTCCTTGCCAGTCTTCCCTATCCCAGGAAAGAGCACTACCATTTTGCAAATATTTTCTCCCTTTGGTAAGTTGTCTTCTCATCTTGCTATTTCTTTTGCTGTGCAGAAAAGCTTTTTGCTTGATGCAAACCCACTTATTTATTTTTGCATTTGTTTCTTGTGCTTTATGTGTCATATCAAAAAAAAAATCATTGCGAAGATCGTGCAAAGGAGCTTTTCCCGTTTTCTTCTTGGGGTCTTATGCCTTGGGGTCCTACGTTTAAGTCTTTAATACATTTTGAGTTAATTTGTGTGAGTGGTGTAAGATGAAGGTCCAATTTCATTCTTCTGCATGTGTTTATCCAGTTTTCCAACATCATTTAGTGAAGAGACTGTCCTCTCCCCGTTGAGTATTTTTGGCTCTCCTGCCAAATGTTAGTTGATTGTATATGTGAGGGTTTAATTCTGGGCTCTTGATTCTGTTCCATTGGTCTATTTTCATGCCAGTGCCACACCATTTGGATTACTATAGCTTTGTAGTATAGTTTGAAAAAAGGGTGTATGATATCCCCAGCTTTATTCTTCTTTCTCAGTATTGCTTTGGCTGTTCAGGATCTAGCAGGTTTTTGGTTGAGTCTTGAGGATTTTCCATATATAAGATTATATCATCTGCAAATAAAGACAGTTTTACTTCTTCCTTTCCAGTTCAGATGCCTTCTATTTCCTTGTCTTGCTTGATTGCTCTGGCTAGGACCTCCAGTACTATGTTGAATAGGAGTGGTAAGAGTGGACATCCTTGTCTTGTTTCTGATCTCAGAGGAAAGATTTTGACCTTTCGCCTTTGAGTACAATGCTAGCTGTGGACTTGTTGTGTATGTACTGTTATGTTGAGATGCATTCCTTCTATACCTGATTTGTGGAGGGTTTTTGATCTTGAAAGGACGTTGTATTTTATCAAGTGCTTTATCTGCATCTATTGAGATGATCATATGATTTTTGTCCTTTATTCATTAATGTGGTTTATGACATTGATTGTATATGTTGAACCATCCTTGTACCCCAAGGATAAATCCCACTTAACCATAGCATATGATCTTCGTAATGGGCTGTTGAATTTGGTTGCTAACGTTTTGTTGAGAATTTTTGCATCTGTGTTCATCAGGGATATTGATCTGTAGGTTTCTTCTAGTGTCACTATCTGGCTTTGGTATCAGGATAATGCTGGCCTCATGAAATGAGTGTAGGAATGTTCCCTCTTCTTCAGTTTTTTTTTTTTTAAGTAGGCTCCACACCCAACATGGGGCTTGAACTCATCACCCTGAGATCAAGAGTCACATGATCTACTGACTGAGCCAGCCAGGCACTCCCACGTCTTCCATTTTTGGTAAGAGTTTGAGAAGGATTGGCATAATTTCTTCTTTAAATGCATGGTAGAAATCACCAGTGAAGCCATCTGTTCATGGGCTTTTCTTCATTGGGAGGTTTTTGATTATTGAGGCAATCTCCTTATCTGTTATGGATCTGTTCAGATTTTCTATTTCTTCATGATTCAGTCTTGGTTTATATACTTCTACAAAGATTCTCTTATCCATGGGTGATTGCCCAAGTCTCCAGGTGCTTCTAGGCCATGGCCAACAGGGCCTGGAACTAATTTACAGTCTCCTGCAGGTTCCACAGCTGGCACTGAGGTCTGTCTGCCTATTACTCAGGTGGGTGAGACTCCTCTTGGGTCCCTTGCTGTATGGTGCCAGATCCCACAACTCCCACAAACACACTTTTGTTTGTGGATGGATGCCAAACTTCTTCTTCTTCTTTTTTTTAAAGATTTTATTTATTTATTTGACAGAGAGAGACACAGCGAGAGAGGGAACACAAGCAGGGGGAGTGGGAGAGGGAGAAGCAGGCTTCCTGCTGGGCAGGGAGCCAGATGTGGGGCTCGATCCCAGGACCCTGAGATCATGACTTGAGCCGAAGGCAGACACTTAACGACTGAGCCACCCAGGTGCCCTGGATGCCAAACTTCTGTTGTTGAAGTGGGGGGTCAAAAATGAGGGATGAGGGGTGGGTGGATGGGTTAGCCTGGTGATGGGTATTAAAGAGGGCACGTACTGAATGGAGCACTGGGTGTTATATGCAAATAATGAATCATGGAACACTACATCAAAAACTAATGATGTATGGTGATTAACATAACATAATAAAAAATATTAAATGCTATTAACTAAAAAAAATGACGGATGTCTTATGCTGTCCTGATAGTTTGGATTTTTCTTATTTTCTCGACTTGTAGTGGCTCTGGCATTCCTGTTTTCAGCAGAACAATAACAATACAATTGGGTCTTTTGTATGCAATCAGACATCAGAGTCTCATACTGTGACCTGGAGTCATCTCGGGGTCTATGTTGAGTAAGAGGGAAGGTTTTAGGACTGATCCTGAAGAGGACAGAGCAATAGGGGTGAAGGAAAGGACCAGGGATTCCCCTTTTCCAATGCACCTGGGGACATTCTTACACATCTGTCTATTAACCACATATTTTATTTTCTGAATTTGACCCTTTGATATCTTGGGACCTTGCTGACCCTGGAGAGATTCCCCCCCAAGGGTATCCACTTCCCCAAGTGCGCCTCTCAAGTGCAAACCAACCAATCCAGAGTTCACACTCCCAACCACCTCTTCTATGGCTCTCACACTCTGAGTCACTATTCCCCTGCCCTAATCATTCCAGGGCCAGATACCAGACAATCAAGGACAGCCTCTATACCCCAGAGCCAATCCTTAAGCCTGTTCCTTCCCACAGAAACCATGGTAAAGGCTCTTGCCCAGTCTTATTCCTCCCTCTGTTTCCTGACTGACCCTGGTGCTTCTCTATGTGATCCTGCATGGCATGGCATACCCCTCTTCTTGGGAACTCTAACAAACTATCTTTCTCTCTTTTAAAATATTTTATTTATTTATTTGAGAGAGAGAGACAGAGACAGAGAGAGCTTGAGAGAGAGCATCAGCAGGGGGCAGGGTGGGGCAGAGGGAGAGGGAGAAGCAGGCTCCCTGGGATCATGACCTGAGCCAAAGGCAGACACTTATCCAACTGAGGGACCCAGGTGCCCCCAAAATATCTTTTTCTCAATGACAATCATCTCTTCATCTTTGGCCATACTCTACTTCAAATTTTCTATTAATACCTATATATATATTTTTTAATTTTTGTTTATCTATTTGACACACACACAGAGAGTACAAGCAGGGGGAGAAGCAGAAGAAGAGGGAGAAGCAGGCTCCCCACTGAGCAGGTAGCCCAATGCGGGGCTTGATGCCAGGACCCCGGGACCACAACCTGAGCTGAAGGCAGACGCTTAACCAACTGAGCCACCCAGGAGCCCCTGATACCTATATTCGAAAACACTCTCCCACATCCACCTCATTGATACACACTCAGAATCTCTGATGAGAGCCTGTCCCCACACTCACTTCCCATTTCCCCCATACTTTACACTCAAGTGGTCACATCTGTCTGTTTCCTGGACTTTTCCTTCCCCAGCCAGGTTCCATCACAGGAAAAGGAATACGTGCCTCAAGAGCAAACCCGAAGCTGCCTTTCTCACCTTTGACCTTCAGCTGCAGGTATTCACTCTCCCCTGACCACTCCTGGGAGACCATTGTCTTGTAGGCACAAAAGTACATCCCAGCATCCTTCGGTTCCAGGTGAGTGAGGGGGAATTCAGCCTTGTGTCCTGTGGATCTCTGCTCCTGCCTGTACCCAGAGTCCTCCAGCTTCCCCAGCATGAATGTCACATTCTGGAAGTGAGACTGGCACCTCAGAGTCACGTTATCTCTGTGTCCAACCACTAAACTGGACAAGGCACCGAGGGAGGGTTTGGGAAGCATCTCTGGAAAGAATTCAGAGTTAGTCTGACTCTTCATCATGATGACCACCAGTGCCCTCCCAGAATTCAGAGGATTAAAGAGAAAATTTGGGTTGCAGGAACAGATAGAGTTTATGCAAGAAAACTCACCATTCTTTTTCTCGTCTTCAAAGCCCAGGCCAAGCCCTGGAAGAGAAACCCTCATGAGACATGGATTATATACTCATCTTTGACTACATATCAGGCAGAGAATGCATGATTAATTTGTTAAAGATCCATTCGATTTATTTTTTTTTATTAACATATAATGTATTATTTGTTTCAGGGGTACAGGTCTGTGATTCATCAGTCTTACACAATTCACAGCGCTCACCATAGTATATACCCTCCCCAATGTCCATCACCCAACCACCCCATCCCTCCCACCCCCCTCCACTCCAGCAACTCTCAGTTTGTTTCCTGAGTTTAAGAGTCTCTTATTGTTTGTCACTCTCTCTGGTTTCGTCTTGTTTCATTTTTCCCTCCCTTCCCCTATGATCCTCTGTCTTGTTTCTCAAATTCCTCATATCAGTGAGGTCATATGATAATTGTCTTTCTCTGATTGACTTATTTCGCTTAGCATAATGCCCTCTAGTTCCATCCACGTCATTGCAAATGGAAATATTTTTTTTGATGGCTGCATAATATTCCATTGTATATATGTACCACATCTTCTTTATCCATTCATCTGTTGATGGACATCTAGGCTCTTTCCATAGTTTGGCTGTTGTAGACACTGCTGCTATAAACATTGGGGTGCAGGTGCCCCTTTGGATCACTACATTTGTATCTTTGGGGTAAATACCCAGTAGTGCAATTGCTGGGTCATAGGGAAGCTCTATGTTCAACTTTTTGAGGAACCTCTATACTGTTTTCCAGAGTGGCTGCACCAGTTTGCATTGCCACCAACAGTGTAGGAGGGTTTCCCTTTCTCCGAATCCTCGCCAACATCTGTCATTTCCTGACTTGTTAATTTTAGCCGTTCTGACTGGTGTGAGGTGGTATCTCATTGTGGTTTTGATTTGTATTTCCCTGATGCTGAGTGATGTTGAGCACTTTTTATGTGTCTTTTGGTCATTTGGATGTCTTCTTTTTTTTTTTTTTTAAAGATTTTATTTATTTATTTGAGAGAGAGAGAATGAGAGACAGAGAGCATGAGAGGGAGGAGGGTCAGAGGGAGAAGCAGACTCCCTGCCGAGCAGGGAGCCCGATGCGGGACTCGATCCAGGGACTCCAGGATCATGACCTGAGCCGAAGGCAGTTGCTTAACCAACTGAGCCACCCAGGCGCCCCTGGATGTCTTCTTTGTAGAAATGTCTGTTCATGTCTTCTGCCCATTTCTTGATTGGATTATTTGTTCTTTGGGTGTTGAGTTTGATAAGTTCTTTATAGATTTTGGATACTAGCCCTTTATCTGATATGTCATTTGCAAATATCTTCTCCCATTCTGTCAGTTGTCTTTTGGGTTTGTTGACTGTTTCCTTTGCTGTGCAAAACTTTTTATCTTGATGAAGTCCCAGTAGTTCATTTTTGCCTTTGCTTCCCTTGCCTTTGGCGATGTTTCTAGGAAGAAGTTGCTGCGGCTGAAGTCGAAGAGGTTGCTACCTGTGTTCTCAAGGATTTTGATGGAAGATCCATTCTATTTCTTAAAGGCACTTCCTTGGATTGATTTTTTACCTTTTACTTAAGTCCCATTGTCTCTTATTCAGGAGTTACGATTATGTACAAAATTCCAGCAAACTTTTCTGATTTATCATGTTGCTTTCATGATCGGGCTTTCTTTCACCATCTAGACATCATTGCACCTTTACCTATATTTTCCTCTCCTGCTTTTTATGACTGCACTTTTCACCCTTGCCACTTAAATAACACAAAGGTTATTTTACTGTGGAGTGTGAGCAGAGGGTTTCCTCCCTGATTCAAACAGACAGAAGTTGCTCTCTCTGACCAGGTTCTTCTTTTCACAAGGAGTTCAAGACATTCATGGTCCTAAATGCTCTTTCCACGTGTGGCTTTGATTTTTACAGACGTCAGACCCTACCTCTCCTGTGTTCCATTCTATGTATTTCATTCTGGGATAGGAAGGTCATCCCTTGGATGGAAATATGGGAAACCAGTCTTGGGGTCTGTCAAGAGGTGAAGCTAGAATTTCTCTAGATGCGAGAATGTCTCAGAACATCTGGCCCTTGTTTAAACTCAGGGGTCAACTCACAACACGGACCCCCCAAGTTTCACCAAGAAGAAAGGAGGTAGGGGTCTCACGGTGCACTGAGGCCAAACTTGCAGTGACAGTGGCTGGCATTTGTAGGTAGAAATCATCATCTGAGTGGTCAGGGGGTCCTAGGTCTCATGGTTTCTTTTAAGTCCCCTCTCCCCCACAAACCTGCTTTTAGACTCATGTTGTCTCAGCTCTGGTATCAGCCAATATTCTGCTCAGTGATTCCCGCCCCCCCCCTTTTTTTTAAGTAAGCACACAGGTGCCGTTAGTTCATTTTGCCTTGTGAAACCCTACTGGAGAATAGGGTGTAAAAGTGAGGGAGAGGTTCTCTTTCTTTGACAAAATAAAACTGTATATACTTAAGTTACACAACATGATGATATATACATATATAGAATGATTACCACAATCAAGCCTGTTAACACATCCATCAGCTCATACAGTCACCCTTTGTGTGTATGTGCGTGTGTGTCTGTGATGAGAACACAGAATCATCAACTACAGTCTCCATGCTGTGCATTTGATTCCTTAGAACGTGCCCCTCTTTCCTAACAAGGGACCACAGTGGATGTAGACAAGGAAGACCGGCCGCACAGAGGAAACCATCATTGAGGGGAATGCAGGATAACTTGAAAAAAGCATATTTCTCAGTAAAGAAGTACAATAAAAACCCACCAATTATTAAGTGTCTGTCTTTTGGCTGACTCTTTACAGACACTGACCACTGACATGCTTATATTCTTTAGCAGGTCCTTGGCAGACAGCTGTCATCTACCCTACAGCTACCTGCTCTGAACAACAACCAGCCTCGTTAGATGCTACGCCTTCCACTGGGTGTAGGAAGGAGTGGGAACATTAGAAACCACAGCTCCCTAAAAACTAATGTGATACTGTGATTTATGATAAATACACATTTGGTCTTTGTCCTGGTTCCTGGCACGCAGCTGCTAAATCCTTGGAATTTTCTTAACCATGTTTTTTTAAGTCTATTTATTTATTTATCTATTTTAGTAATCTGTATACCCAACGTGGGGCTCGAACTCATGACCCTGAGATCAAGAGACCCATGCTCTTCTAACTGAATCACCCAGACACCCACCCTTGGAATTTTCTATACAAGTGTCTTTCATTATGTTAATGAAGTGACTTTTGGACCACACGTAAGGATGAGGGCTGGTTGCCAGGGGAACCAACCATATGATGACAAGGTTGGAACATTCAATTCCACCTCCTTGACCTCTGCGAAGGAGAGAGGGGTTGGAGATGGAATCAATAGCCAATGGCCATGATTTAATCAATTGTGTTTATGTAATGAAGACTCTATAAAAGCTCAAAAGGATAGGTTCAGAGAGCTTGCAGGTTGATGAACCAGATGGAAGTGCAGGGAGAGTGGTGTGCCTGGAGAGGACGTGGAAGCTCTGTGCTCTTTCCCCATACCTGGCCCTCCATATTTCTTCCATCTGGCTGTGCAGATATATCCTTTTATAATACACTGGTAATCCAGTAAGTTAAATATTCCTGTGAGTTCTGTGAGCCTCTCTAGTGAATTAATTGAACCCAAAGAGGGGGTCATGGGAACTCCTGATATATAGCCAATTGATCAGGTGATAACCCAGACTTGCCATTGGCATCTAAAATGGGGAGGAGGCAGTTTTATGGGACTGAGCCCTTACCTACAGGATCTGATGCTAACTCCAGGTAGTGTCAGAACTGAATTAAATTATAGAACACCCAACTGGTGTTCAAGAATTGCTTGGTGGTGTCAGGGCCCCACCCTCACACATTGGAATTGGGTGCCAAGATTGGATCTCCAGATTACTGTTAAATTATAATTTAACAGATCCTTTGAACTCATCATCTGGAAAGCTTAAAAATTTTATGTAAAACATTATTCAGATTATGTTATATAAAATATTATCCTATTCTATTATAGAAAGAAATGTTGCAGTGATATATCATGGATGGACCTTAAAAACATCATTCCAAGAGAAAGAAGCCAGACATGAAAGGTGACATGGTATGATTCCATTTACATGATATATCCAGAATAGCTACATCTAGAGAGACAGAAAGTGGATGTGGTGGTTACCCCCCAGGGAAGGGGGATGGCGAGTGACTGCTTTGTGGGTACAGCATTTCCTTGACAGCTGATGAAAACATTTTGTTGTGGTTCCACAGCATTGTGAATGTCTAAAATGTCACGAGATTGTCTACTTTAAAATGGTTACTCTCATGTGCATTGTATCGCAATACATTTTTAAAATTTTATGTAAGTTGGGTACACTTACCCTCTGTACTAAAGATGTATAAATATTCAGATGTATAAAGATTCAAATATCAGAAGTCTGCCTGAAATCAGATGAAGTGGAAATGACTAGTTGTGTTAGTTTAGACAAGCAACCTCCATTAAGTGCAATGGTAGATCATGTTTCCAGAGCAGCCTGACCCAGGGATTCAGTGCTGTTGCAGGCTTTTCTCTCAGCTACCGTGTGTCATTCCCTCTGAATATTGTCAGGACAGGACCAGGAGCCTGGAAGCAGGGCTTTAGGCAACTACGGTCTGGCATCTTTGGAAGGTCACACTCAGAGGACCAAAATTTATCTGTGTCTCAATGCCAGTTTGAGAACCTTCCTGACAGAACTGGACTGGCTTGCTTTGAATCATAGACCTATCCATGGAATAATGATTATTTGTGTCCTCCAGAAAGGTATGTTCAAGTCCTAACCCCCAGTAGTTGTGAATGTGAACTTATTTGGAATTGCATTATTTGGGAGTAGGCTGGTCTCATAATTCAGTATGACTGGTGTCCCCATAAGAAGAGGTGGAGAGATATAGAGACAGACACAGAGGGAAGAGGGCCATGTGAAGACATGAGGGATTGCAGCAAAGCATCTGCAAATAAGGAACCCAACGACTGCCTGCCATCCCCAGAAGTGAGGAGAGCCTGGAACAGATTCTCTCTGGGAGCCTCAGAGCCCTCAGAAGGAACCAACTCTGCTGGCACCTTGATCTTGGACTTCTGGCCTCCAGAAGTGAGAGAATAGATTTCTGTTGTTTTAAGCCACTTGCTGTGTGGCACTTTGTCATGGCAGCCCTGGGAAATGAATACAAGCAGGATGAGGTCAGTCTCTTGACTGTCCAACTTATTCTGCCCTACAGCTGGAGGTTTGGGGTATAGTGACTGACAGCCACCCCTAAAGCTCAAATGTGTGTGTGAGAGGAGCATTACCCCAAAGGAAGGGCTGTATCTCGGAAGAGGGAGGAAGGAATTGGGGCAGATGACAAGTCCTGATATCTTCCACACACACTCCTCAGCCCCACCTCACGAAAGAGGAACTGGGGGCTTGGTCAGTGGAGCTGCTGGTTCACAGCCTAGAGCCCCCATGAGACCAAGCCAAGGTCATAATCCCAGGTCTTCCTTTTTACAGGCTGAGGTCCCTTTGATTACATCATGTTCAAGTTGAAGACAGTTAAAATCAGTAGAGGGTAGAGCTGGTCAGAAAATTTTCTTTTCATCCATTGTCCCCAGACATAGCCCTTCTCTGTAATCTTGGTCTGTACCCAAACCCACAGCTCCACACCCTATGTATTCTGTCCTCCTGTATGCCAACAAACATTCCTGGGAGGACTGGTGTTTGGACAAATCAGGTTTGGAGCCCTCATGGGAGCTCTGCATTGCTCAGCTGAGTAAATGAGGGTATCAACCCACGTCTCTGAACCTCACTTCCCCATCTCCTGTGTGCAGGCACCAAAACAGAGGCATGTAACCACAGCCCATGAAACTCTGACAGGTAGCCTGTGTCCAGTACACAGAAGATATCACTTCACATCAACCCCCGCTTCACCGTGAATTTTCTCACCACCCAAACCCATCTGTCCCAGTCCTGGAGACTCACCAAGGCAAAGCAGGGGCAGGAATTCTCTGAGCATAGTGTCCCTTCCACTCAGACCAAGATCCCACCTTCAGTTTTACAGTTCAAAGGAAGAAGGGGAATTGGGCCATCGCGGGTCTTTCCTGCCGACTTTGTCTCCAGGTTGTGTGGATAGAGGTTTTACCGTGACGCTTTGGTTCTCCACTGCCTGGTGTACAGTTTCCTTCTCACAACCAAGGCAGGAAACCATCAATGACAACATCTCCCTCATAAACAGTGTGTGTGGCTCCAGCACCACCCACCCTGAGATCTGTCCTATCGCATCTGAAGTCCTGACCAAGACATTTTCTTTAAAAAAAAAAATAATAATAATAATTGTTTTGGAAAAAGTTTTAGAGTTGCAAAAAAGTAGTACAGAGTTCCCACATACCCATCAACCAGCTTTCCCATTGGTAATAGAACTACAGTACATTATGAAAACCAGAAAGTTGGCATGGGCATAATAAGATGGCTGGGCAAGCACATGGTAACATCTAAAGTGTGGGAGTCTCTGGTAATGCTGGGCACCCACTGCTCCTGAGAGCAGGGGGTTCAACAAGAAAACAGAAGTGGATGTCTGTCTTTAAGTCTGAACAACTTGTCTTTTAGTAAATCTTGACAAATGGGTCACACAATATCAGATTTTTGCTGTGCTTTCTTTTACAGAAGAGAAAGTAATCAAGGGAAACTGGAAAGCTTCTATTCAATTTTTCTCCCAAATGGGAAGAGTATAATCCCATTTTCCAGGAACAAAGGAAGAAACACTGAAAAATTAAGGGAGCAAATTCTTCTCTAGAGGTACAACACTCATCCTTCCTTCCCAGCTACTCATTGCTTCCCAAGTCTGTTAAGAACTCTTGTTGATTATTGATTGCCTCATGTAACTGAAAACACTAGGGTTGTGTTCAAGCATGGGTAGATCCAAATGCTCAAATAATGGTACTGGGAATCTGTCTTTCTCCATGTTTAGGTGCCGCTTTCCACTGTGTAGACTTCACTCTCAGGTTGGTTCTCTTCATGTGCTGGGAAGTTATGCACTGGCATCTCCAGGCAGAAATAGTGCGCTAGCACTAACACTTGCAACAAAACTCATAAGGCAGACTCAACATTGCTTGATCCTGGTTTGCATGTCCATTCCTAAATTGATCGATGTAGCCAAGGTGATGGGTTGCACTAATTGGTCCTTCTGGGACATATGAGCACACCTGCAGCTAGAAAGCTGGATCAGTCTCATTTAACCACAAAGAGTAAGTGACAGGTGGCCAATGTCTCAGTGAAGATAGTCATACCAGGATATACTGGTTATGAATAGTTGGATATGCAATAAGTCAATACTGTCCACTCTGTGCCTTCATCTGCCCATTTCAGGCTATGCCCAGGCAAGATTTTGTCTCCTTCCAAGAACTAATCTATGATTCTTCTCTCCCTTAACCATGAGTCTTTAACCATGAGATTGCTGAAAGCATGTGCAGATGCCATAATGTTATTATTATAACTATACATCAGTTTTCTAGAATTATTAGGTCCCCTGCCTGGAGGTATGAGAGGTGGGAGGAAACATGGTTGTCTCCTGATACACAATGTTACAAGGGTTAAAAAATCCTATACTACATCTCAAAGCAGATGTCAGCACTTCAGATACACAATACCCTAGCAGAGTTAACACACAGCTGAGCAAGAAACAAAAAGTAGATTTTCATACATTCTCTGAGAGGGCAAAATAGATCAAGTCCCTCAGGTTGGATTGAAATTATTGTAGGGATTAAGATTGGAAGGGAAGACAGAGTAAGCAGAGCAAAGCCCCAATCCTGGGCTACTACAACTCTGGACCACTACATGTCTATTAAAGACACCTTGTTTGAAGCTTATACAGACTCACCGCCTTCTGATTCAACCTCAACCTTGTCCTGCAATTATTTTTTAAGTATAATTTTTCATAAGTTAACTTTCCAACACAACACCAATGGAAAGTGAGTCCTGATTTTTATTAAGATTTGAAATCACCAAAGTTCAACCCTAACTAGTAATGGGAATGTATGTGTGCTCCATGCTCTCCACATCTCCCAGATCCACTTATTTCTGCATTCAGATGGGGTGACTTGGCTCTAGTTCACATGTACTTCATCTTCCCCCTGAGAACGATGGGCTAGCTCTCACATGTCCTCATGGAAATGGAAGATGCACAGGGGCTAAATCAAAATATGCTGTGCCCCTGAAGACCTGGGCTGCAGTTAAAATATTGCCATTTGCACCTTATCCTGTTGACCAAAGCTAATAACACAGCTGAATCCATAGTTGAAGGGCTATTAGTGTGAACTATTGCACTATGACTTCTTGGCCACAGTTATTCATATACATCCTATGTACAAAATATGCTCATTCCCATCCCAGGACCTGTTCCCCCAAATTTCCATCCAATAATGGTGTCAGGTTTTAAATCCAGGACCTAATGATCATTATCAAGTCTATAGGTGGCTCCGTTGGATCCAGGACTCATGAACTAAAAGGAGAAATTAGGTGCCCCATACATCTGCCATATGATGACAAAACAGAAGTGGGATAACCACAATACTCTCACTAGGAAAAAGCTTCCTCCTTAGGTGTGTGGGTGACATAAAGCAGTCACTGGTTTGCAGCAGTTTCAAAATCACTTTGGGAAAATGCCACTAGATGCCACAATTCTGGGGATGGAAATGTTGCTTCATAAAGTTTCAGTTCTGTTCTCTATTAGGAGTTTCTCAGCCCACTATCCTGTGAGGTCTTGGTTCCTCCCTCTGAGATGTCTTTGTTTTATCAACCTTCCTGTCCACTTCTGAAGAGGACTTTGGAGAATATGACCCTCTTGATGGATGGCCCAGTTTCTCAGCTTGCTTTCTGCACATAGAAAGTTGAGCCTTCAAGTCTTTGTTTTTTGTTTTTTTTTAAAGATTTTATTTATTTATTTATTTAATTTAATTTTATTTTTTTTTTTAAAGATTTTATTTATTTATTTGTTTGAGAGAGAGAGAATGAGAGAGAGCACATGAGAGGGGGGAGGGTCAGAGGGAGAAGCAGACTCCCCGCCGAGCAGGGAGCCCGATGCGGGACTCGATCCCGGGACTCCAGGATCATGACCTGAGCCGAAGGCAGATGCTTAACGACTGAGCCACCCAGGGGCCCTGAGCCTTCAAGTCTTTGTATAATTTCTCTAAGGTTATGCTGGCAGCAATTTTGCCAGTGTAGCTCTCAAAACCATTGTAGCTTTCGGGGCACCTGGGTGGCTCAGTTGATTAAGCCTCGGACTCTTGATTTTGGCTCGGGTCATGATCTCAGGGTTTCTGGAGCAGAATTCAGTGGTCACTTACATACAACACCTACTGCTAATCACATCAAGTGCCCTCCTCAATCCCCATCCCCCATCTAGCCCATCCCCCACCACCTCCCTCTATCAACCCTCAGTTTGTTCTCTAATTAGCGGGTATTATGCTAAGCAAAATAAGTCAATCAGAGAAAGACAAGTATCATATGATCTCACTGATATGAGGAATTTGGGAAACAAGACAGAGAATCGTAGGGGAAGGGAGGGAAAAATGAAACAAGACGAAACCAGAGAGGGAGACAAACCGTAAGAGACTCTTAATCTCAGGAAACAGACTGAGGCTTGCTGGAGTGGAGGGGGGTGGTAGGGATGGGGTGGCTGGGTGATGGACATTGGGGAGGGTATGTGCTATGGTGAGCGCTGTGAATTGTGTAAGACTGATGAATCACAGACCTGTACCCCTGAAACATAATACATGTTAATAAAAAAATAATAAAAAATACTCTTATGGTTTCCTTCCCTCTCTCCTTTTTTCTTTTTCCCCTTCCCATATCTTCATCTTTTTGTTTCTTAAATTCCACATATGGGTGAGATCATATGGTATTTGCCTTTCTCTGAATAACTTATTTCATTTAGCACTCTAGCTCCTTCCATTGGAAATGGCAAGATTTCATTCTTTTTGATGGCTAAGTAATATTCCATTGTATATATACACCACATCTTTTCGATGGACATTTGGGCTCTCTCCATAGTTTGGCTATTGGGGACATTGCTGCTATAAACATCTGGGTGCATGTACCCCTTCAAATCCGTATTTTTGTATCCTTTGGATAAATACCTAGTAGTACAATTGTTGGAACATAGGGTAGTTCTATTTTTAACTTTTTAATTTCAGATTTTATTTATTTATTTGACAGAGAGAGCTTGAGTGGGGGGAGGGCAAAAGGGAGAGGGAGAAGCAGACTCCCTGCTGAGCAGGGAGCCCGACATGGGGCTCAATCCCAGGACCCTGAGATCACGACCTGAGCCGAAGGCAGACAGTTAATCGACTGAGCCACTCAGGTGCCCCTATTTTTAACTTTTTGTGGAACCTCCAAACTGTTTTTCAGAGTGGCTACACCAGTTTGTGTTCCCACTAACACTATAAGAGTGTTCCCCTTTCCCTACATCTTTGCCAACACCTGTTGTTTCTTGTGTTGTTAATTTTAGCCATTCTGACAGATGTGAGGTGGTATCTTATCCTGGTTTTGATTTGTATTTCTCTGATGATGAGTGATGTTGAGCATCTTTTCATGTGTCTGTTGGCCATCTGTATGTCTTCTTTGGGAAAATGTCTGTTCATGTCTTCTGCCCATTTCTTAACTGGATTATTTGTTTTTTGGGTGTTGAGTTTGGTAAGTTCTTTATAGATTTTGGGTTTTTTAAAGATTTTATTTATTTCTTTATTTGTCAGAGAGTGAGCACAAGCAGGGGTAGCAGCAGGCAGAGGGAGAGGCAGGCTCCCCACTGAGCAAGGGCCCCGTCACTGGACTTGATCCCAGAACTCTGGGATCATGACCTGAGCTGAAGGCAGACACTTACTAACAGAGCTACACAGGCGTCCCAGTTCTTTAGAGATTCTGGATACTAACCCTTTATCAGATATGTCATTTGCAAATATCTTCTCCCATTCTGTAGGCTGCATTTTAGTTTTGTTGTTTATTTCCTTCACTGTGCAGAAGCTTTTTATCCTGATGAAGTTCCAATAGTTCAGTTTTGCTTTTGTTTCCCTTGCCTCTGGTGACATGTTTAATAAGTTGCTGTGACGAAGGTCAAAGAGGTTGCTGCCTGCGTTCTCCTCTAGGATTTTGATAGTTTCCTGTCTTACATTTAGGTCTTTCATCCATTTTGTGTCTATTTTTGTGTATGGTGTAAGAAAGTGGTCCAGTTTCAGTCTTCTGCACGTTGCTGTCCGGTTTTCCCAACACCATTTGTTGAAGAGACTGTCTTTTTTTCCATTGGATATTCTTTCCTGCTTTGTCAAAGATTAGTTGGCCATAGCGTTGAGGGTCCATTTCTGGATTCTCTATCCTGTTCCCTTGATCTATGTGTCTGTTTTTGTGCCAGTACCATACTCTCTTGATGATTATAGCTTTGTAATACAGCTTGAAGTGATGCCTCCAGTTTTGTTTTTCTTCTTCAGAATTGCTTTGGCTATTCAGGGTCTTCTGTGGTTCCATACAAATTTGAGGATTGTTTATTCTAGCTCTGTGGAAGATGCTGGTGGTATTTTGATAGGGATTGCAATATATGTGTAGATTTCTACTGGTAGTGTAGACATTTTAACAATGTTTCTTCTTCCAGTCCATGAGCATGGAATGCTTTTCCCTTTCTTTGTGTGCTCTTCAATTTCTTTCATAAGTGCTTTATAGTTTTCAGAGTACAGATCTTTTACCTCTTTAGTTATGTTTATTCCTAGGTATCTTATTGTTTTGGGTGCAATTGCAAATGGGATCCATTCCTTGATTTCTTTTTCTGCTGCTTCATTATTGGTGTATAGAAATACAACAGATTTCTGCACATTGATTCTATATCCTGTGACTTTGCTGAATTCATGTCTCAGTTCTAGTAGTTTTTTGGTGGGGTCTTTTGGGTTTTTTGCATAGAGTATCATGTCATCTGCAAATAGTAAAAGTTTGACTTCTTCCTTGACAATTTGGATGCCTTTTATTTCATTTTCTGGTCTGATTGCTGAGGCTTGGACTTCCAGTACTATGTTAAATAGTAATGATAGGAGTGAACATCCTTGTCTTGTTCCTGACCTTAGGGGAAGGGCTCTCAGTTTTTCCCCACTGGGGATATTAGCTGTGGTCTTTTGTATATGATGTCGATGTATGTTCCATCTATCCCTACTTGTTGAGGGTTTTTATCAAGAATGCTATATTTTGTCAAATGCTTTTTCTGCATCTATTGAGAGGATCATATGGTTCTTATTCTTTCTTTTTATTAATATAAGGCTAACTTCCTTTTTTTTAAAGATTTTATTTATTTATTTATTTGACAGAGAGAGACACAGCGAGAGAGGGAACACAAGCAGGGGGAGTGGGAGAGGGAGAAGCAGCTCCCTGCCGAGCAGGGAGCCCGACGCGGGACTCGATCCCAGGACCCTGGGATCATGACCTGAGCCGAAGGCAGTCGCTTAACCAACTGAGCCACCCAGGCGCCCCTCAATTTGTTTTCAAATGCATGAACCATAGTCTTATTTTTTTAAAGTACGCTCTACACCCAACGTGGGGCTTGAATTCACAACCCTGAGATCAAGAGGCACAGCCTCCACTGACTGAGCCAGCCAGGCGTCCCCATGAACCATCGGTCTTGCTCCTTCACTGCGCATGGACCTCAGAGAAACACCTCATCCACTACAGTCACTCAAAAATAGTCACTAACACTGACTCCTTCATTCAGTTCCAAAGCCCAGCATCTTTTCTGTAGACCAGAGAATCTCCAGCAGTCTCTGCACCAACCTGTTTCCATCTCCTCAGTGGAATCATTTGGATCCAGGAGTCTAGCACCTTTGGCTTTTCTAGGTGGGTTAGAATTTGAGGCCTGAATTCACTGTGTTCGCATAAAGAGTTTGCGTAAATTATGATCTCATGGAGCATTTTATTTCTTCTTGTTTTCCAAATGTGGTTGGAACACAAAACCTAAAGGTCACATGAGAGGAAGGAAGAGAAGTGTTGGCGAAAGATGCCACCCCCCACATCTGCCTTCCCTCGCTGTTGTGGACGAAACCAGAGAGGGGCCCCTAGAGCAGGCTGCAGTATGATCCCTGAATTCCTCTGCCTCCTCTGCTTTGGTAAGTCCCTTGGGCCCGTCGACTGGGATTAGAGATAAAGGTGGGTGGAGAAAGATGTGACCACTAGAATTGGAAAGAAAAGTGGAAACATCTGCTTATCTTTACTGATTGCTTCATGTGTGTCAGGAACCTTGAGGGAGGCTTTAGATACATCTTACCCATCAAATGTTCTCCAGTATGCAAATACATTTCACATCCATAACTGTCCTGTATGCCTCTACCATCCCTACTTATTTAAAATTTTATTGACTCAATATCTTTATTTTGTTTTATTTATTTTTCATATCTTTATTTTATTTTTATTTTTTTTTCAAAGATTTTATTTACTTGTTTGACAGAGACACAGCGAGAGAGGGAACACAAGCAGAGGGAGCGGGAAAGGGAGAAGCAGGCTTCCCGCCGAGCAGGGAGCCCGATGTGGGGCTCGATCTCGGGACCCTGGGATCATGACCTGAGCTGAAGGCAGATGCTTAACCGACTAAGCCACCCAGGCACCCCTTAATATCTTTATTTTAAACAGGCCCATTCATCTGAAGATGGAAATTTTATGCCAATAGCTTAAATTAAAAAATAACATTTAGGGGCACCTGGGTGGCTCAGTTGGTTAAGCGACTGCCTTCGGCTCGGGTCGTGATCCTGGAGTCCCGGGATTGAGTCCCATATCGGGCTCCCTGCTCGGCAGGGAGCCTGCTTCTCCCTCTGACCCTCCCCCCTCTCATGTACTCTCTCTTATTCTCGCTCTCTCAAATAAATAAATAAAATCTTTAAAAAAAATAAAATTTAAAAGAAAAGCCAGGGTCACTTAGCAAAATATAGAAGGTTAATGTAAACATATATACAATGCAAAGGAAGAAGACATTAGGACATTCTAGCCATGGGCTGTTGGCCATCACATTTCTGAGCCCCCAGCTACTTCTTTATTACAAATGGCAGTTGGCCAGAGACAGATGTGTAAGAAGGTTGATCTCTAGCTTGAGTAATTCTTTGTTGTGATCAAAGGAGTGGACGTGATTTGAAAGGGTAATACCTTTTTGATCAATGCTATAGAATACCATGTCACTGCATCCCCTGAAATCATCTGTAAGCCCCCGTGGTTTGTATTCCATTCTGTGGGAAATACTGCTCTGACCCTTGCAAACAACCTGTGTGATGGAAATCAGACCCGTGTTGATAAATGAGGACCAGAGACTGACAGCTCAGGGTTCCTGCTCAGGGCCACACAGTGAGTGAGCAGAAACCTCAACATTCAAACCCAGGCCTGTCTGGCTCCAAAGTCACTGTTGTTTCCACTTGGTCATAATGGGATATTAAGAATGAGGCGTGGGCTCTTCATAATGGGAAAGTCCTTGGGGTGAGTCAGCAAGTGCCAGGTTGGGAAAATTATAAGGAGATGAAAGCAGAGTGCTTCAAAATATCCCGGGGCATAGAGCTGGGGACAACTCAGGATGTCTGTTTGCTGGTGCTAAGAAAGCCTTCTTTGCACAAATAGGGACAGTGTGGGTCTTAGCTTAATTGGGTCCCAGCGATGTGATTGGTCTTCACAATAGTCTCTGATCCCTAGATTCTAGGGTAATCCCTGGGGCTTTCTTTGCCTTCAGGCTGGTCTATCTGGTGAAATGAGGAAAGGACGGTATTAGAAGTTTGAATCTTTCTACTAGCCTTGAAAAATCTGAGCCATGTTAACTTGGGGCATCTCTTCTGTTGGCCAAGGTGCTTCTTACTATGTTCCAGGATTGTGTAGACACTGGGGATGCTAAGGAGAACAGAATAGAGTAGCTATATTCCAGGTGTTGACAAGACAGTAATGCCTTGTGTCTCCCATGGCACGAGTACACAAACACTCTTAAGGATTAAGGGGCTTGTGGACATTGGGGAACCAGGACAGGTCCTGGGGCTGTAGGAGGAGTGAGCTGCACAGGAGACCTTCTGGGAGAGTGGGGAAGGAGCCCAGAGCAGAGCTGCAGCCACAGTCCAGGTGGGGAAATGAGAAGCCCCAGATGCATGACCTCCAGGGTCCGTGCTCAGCAGCAGCCCCCGGGGAGGCCCCTTGGGACGGGGCTCCAGGTGGATGCTCATGTCTCATGGACGGTTCTCTTGCAGGGCTGTGTGCTGGCCAAGGAAGCAGGACAACTGATGGTGAGTTCCTTCAGTCAGACCCTCCCTCCCCTTCACTCCAAACTCCCTGTGTCCCTTCTCTTTCCTTCAAGGGGTTTCCTGAGAGCAGACAAGGGCACCAAATCCCATCCCCAAATCTGCTTCCTTCCAGAGTCCCTTCCCAAGCCCTCCCTCAGGGCCTGGCCCAGCTCGGTGGTGTCTCGCAAGAGTAATGTGACGCTGCAATGCTGGACTTCTACCAAGAATGTCAACTTTGTTCTCAGAAAGGGAAAAGTTCCTTTGCAGTCTTTGCCATCACGGGCTTCCACAGAGGGCCTGGCTGAATTTCACCTCACTGACCTAAACACCAACAATGCTGGAGAGTACGCCTGTGAGTACTACAGACGAGGGAGCCCGTACATACGTTCACAGCCCAGTGACGTCCTCCTACTGCTGGTGACAGGTGAGGAGGTGCCTCGGAGGGACATAGGGTCTTGCAGGGACAGGTGTGGGGGAGGAACCCGAGGGAGGGAGGGAACAAGGGGAGATGGAGAAACACAGAACAGACTGACCTGGCTCAGCTTCATCCAGGGCTTGCTGGGGAAATCTTCCCACAGTCAGAGTGGAAAGAGGGTGAGACCAGGGATCTGTCATTTCCCCCCCTTGGCGGGAACCCCTGCCAGGAGAACAAGGGAGGGTGGGGGACCCCGGGCTGCTCCCCAT